CAGGCGGTGTGGGTGGATGGGGGTGCAGGGTGACTTTTGTCTTACTTCTGGCTGAGTCTGACCAACCTGGGAAGGGCAGACCCCATCCCATCCCATCCCATCCCATCCCATCCCATCCCATCCCATCCCATCCCATTGCATTCTGTGCTGTCCTGTGCCATCCCATTCTGTCCCATCCTGCTATCCAGCTCCTGGTTCTGGAGAAAAATGTTTTTCATGGACAGATTAACAGTGACACCCATACGTGCAGAGGCAGGATGTGGGAAGAGGGTCTTTCCCTCCCTGGGGCACTTTTTGGAGTCAAGGGTGCCTGCAATGCCAGCACCATGCAAAAGGTCCCTCTGTTTTAAGCAGCACTGGAGAAACGGGGTTCCCATTTCATCTATCAGCCGTTGCTTTGAGATGCCCATCACAGGCTGGTGCCCAGCTCCTGCCCTGCATGGAGTCCCCTGCAGCTTTTTGGGAGGGCTGGTGACCATGGCTGACCATCCCTGTCCCTGCAGGTGGACATGTCGACCATTGCAGCCCAGGCCGGCTCTATCCTGAACACGCTGATGCTGCGGTCGCAGGAGCTCATCCTGCACTTGCACTCACTCCAGGTGGACCGGCAGGAGTACGTCTGCCTCAAGTTCCTCATCCTCTTCAGCCTCGGTGAGTGCTGTTGCAGGGGCACCTTGGTGAGGGTCGGCCACACTCAGAGGTCATGGCCATGCTGCTGAGGGGGTCTCGAAGGGTGGGAGCAAAGCTGGAGGGAGCAAAGCTGGAGGGAGCACACACAGCCCAGGGTCTGGCCATGCTGGTGGCAGCACAGATGGGCAATGAAGGGGCTTCTAATGAAGAGGCAGGAGTAAGGGATGCGACCTGCCAGCTCCCTCACCTCACCACGGGGTCCAAAATATCCCTGCTATGGCTCTGCCTCCATCCGTGGGGGATGTTGCTGTCCTGGTGGCTGAGCAGAGCCTGTTTTGGTCACTCGCCCGTCGCACTGGGCAGGGAAACAACTGGCTGATATGGCTGCAGCAAAACAGGCGTGTTGACAGAGGCGGCAGCCCTATCTCCCGGGATTTGCGTCAGCGGGCCCGTGCTGCCGCGCTGGGCAGGGGCTGCCTGCGCTCCTGATTAGGCTCACCCGGAGCCTGTGGTCAGGCTGAGGCGGCGGGTTCGCACGGTCCCCCCTCACCTAGACAAAACACACGGGAGCTGCTGCCAGAGCCCTCAGCATTCCTGGGGCTGCACAGCGGCTCTGTCCCGCTCCCACCCTGCATCTCCCCATGCACCACAGCAGGGATGAGCCTCCTTGCCCATAAGCTTCACCCAAAGCAGGGATGCCCATCAGAGTCCCACCAGAGTGATTTCAGCCCTTGGTGAAGTGATGGGGCTGTGGGTGGTCCTGAGCATGGTGGGGACCCCAGGGTGCTGGCTGCCTTCGTTACTGGTGTTGACATGTTCCCTTCAGCCCCATTCCAGTGAGAATTCTGACCTCCCCATGCAAGGATGATGGTGTAACCTATGAGGAGCTCATCTGTCTGCTGTGCTCCTGGCTCCTGGCTCACACCTCTGCCACTGCAGCTACTTCACTTCCCATACTTGCTGCTAATTGAATGCACTCGGACAGGGCAGGCATTTCCCTAGGGAAACCTGTACTTGGGTCCCTGCAGTAGCTGGATGCTAGCGCTGAGCTGGGACCATGAGCCCAGCTTGGGGCAGCCGTGCCTCCATCCTCATCCCAGCCCATCCCCGACCCTGTCCCAGCGCCTCAGTCTGTGCTTGCACTTCCACATTCGTGGGGTCCCATCCGAGGGGCTCTGGCCAATGCTTCTGTGTTTCACTGCCAAGCGCAGCAGGCCACAGGCTGCACTCTGTGCTGAATGGACACTGCTGCGTGTTTTGGTAGTTTGTGCTTGAGGGAGAGTTTGCACTGCTGTATGTCATCATTGCTGAGGAGCCAGCCCGCTCCAGGAGCAGCACTGCCACTGGGTTAATGGGTTAAGGAGCAGTGGGAGTGGGAATCCACTCCTCCATCCCAGGGGCCCTGTCAGGTCTGAATGATCCTCCAGTTTGACTCGGTTTTGCTGCGGACATAGAGTTATGCTTCCTCCATCCTGCACCTGCAGCATCTCCTCCTGCAACTTTCTCTTCCTCTAGAGCTGTTTTGAAATCCAGAGAAATTAGATAGGATAATTTGCTGTTCAAACAGTGATAAGGTGGGGCACAAACTGTGCCTGGGCTGGGAAATACAGGAGACAGTGGGGCTCAGCACTGCAAGGGCCAGTCCCCTCACTGCCCCCCAGCACACACAGCACAGGACAGCACGGCATGGCACAGCACAGCGAGCAGGAGCAGCATCCTCCTGGAGCACAGGCTGCTGTGCGATCACTTCCCTGGAGCAGCGGCTTTCAGGGAGGGCGTGGAATCAAAGAGCTGTATTTTCCCATACATCATTTTGCCCCAAATCCAACTTTTTCTCTCCATATTGCAGAGCTCACTTGGAGTAATTTGCCCTTCGCAGGCTCAGCTGTAGAGGATGGGATTGTGTATTATGTGCAGGATGTAATTGCCTTTAACAAGAGAATTTCCACATTTACCACTCTGCCACAGCACAGTCAAAGCCAAGCCCCACTCACAAGAGCTGCCATTTGAGTTCTAAATAGATTTCTCTCCTGAGCAGGTAAAGAGATTTAATTAAAATTAGGGCTTCTCAAAATAGCAATATTTATGAGGACGGCACAGGTTAGCTTTGTTCTACAGAAGGGCTTAATAGAGCCTTAATGGATTGACCTATCATTCGATTTCATGACTTACATTCATGAAGCAGCTACTCTTGGGGAGGGGAGGAAGAGAGGCTTTTATAGCCCACATTCCCTTAAGCGTTTGCAATTTATCAGCAGCTTCTCCCAAACAAAAGGAGCTGTGAATAGGAAGAACACTTGAGGGCATAGAAATAATCCCAGGCATATCTGTATGTGTGATGGGAGGCTTTGTCACAGGACAGTCTTTGCAACTGCTGCAGTGTCTCTAAATGAAGTGAGTCAATGTTATTTGGACAACATTCTTTATTCCTTGCAGGAATGAAAAGATTATTCAAATATTCAATTAAACAGTGAATAGGGTCTTTCAGAGAACCAGGTGAGTTCATCGAGTAGAACTAGCTATTGTTGAGCCAACTCAGGGGATAGATTTGACATTTATCAATATAACTTCTTTTTTTTTTAGTGTCATGCACAATAACCTTATGCAGATAAAGAGATTTCATAACAACAGCCTGGGTAGAAGGGAGACAATAGGAGCAAATGTGCCACAGGACTGAAAAGGGAAGGGTGATCTGATAAAGTGCATCTTGGCATGACCTGCAGCACTTTGTGCCTGTGCCGTGCAGCACCCAGCCCACAGGGCAGCCCGGCCGTGGGCATGGCCAGAGGCTGTGTATCCCTGCAGCCCTCCCAGCTGCCCTCTGCTCCCTGGGCTCTGCCTGAGCATCAGCCGGAGGGTCCTAGCTTTGCATGGCTGGAACAGTGTTAGGTGCCATGACCCACCCAAAGGAGTTCTCCGGGGTCAGGTAGTGGACACCCTCACCCAGGGGTACGGGGGTCCCATCTGCTCCCTCCTGCTCAGGCATCTCCATCACCAACACCGCGCTTTGCCCTCCCAAAAGCTGCTCAGTCCTCTGGGCACAGCCACGCTCAGCTCCCTGCTTTTTGAGGATGAAAACCAGAAAAACCCCCACACTCACAGTCGCCTTAGCCAGAACCATGCCCAGATTTCCCTGTTCCCAGCCTGCCAATGCAGACCTGAGGTTTGCATCAGTGGCCGCTGGATGTGGGCAGTTCCGTTACCAAGCACAGTGCTGCTGGGCAGCTCTGTACAGTAAATCTATTAAACCCATTTGCCCCAAACAAGCTTGGTGCCAGGGTTTGCAGCAAGGTCTCCCACGGGTGGGCGCAAGATGTCATTGCTCTGCGTGGCTGTAGCTGGCTGATGGGGCAATGCACAGCACTGTTTCCCTCCAGCCACTGAAATTTGTGTGCGGGGACAGTTTAACACATTGCACAGATTAAAAATCAGTGCTTCCTTCATGAAGCACTCATGGGCAACCCAAGCACTGAGGCAGCATGAGTGGAGGTTATCCCAAAAGCTTGGAGGAACCCCAACCCACCAGTCTGGGTTGTCCCTGCAGTCACCCTCCGCTGTGGTTGCAAGTCGAAGGGCAGTTACAGACCCGTGGTCCCCAGGGACAATCTGCTGCCATTGGGGCTGCAGTGGCCTCTTGGCTGTCGGATCCTGCTTCCACCTTGGTGCTGCTGCCTGATGTGCTGCTTCCCACCTGCAGCAGCAGAGCTGGCAGCAAGATCATGGGGGAGCTGCTGCGACCCTGGCAGAGGATTAGGGTTTCCAGGCTGGTGAGCATGGTTGCCACATCAGAAAGCCCAGGTTTATTGGGGAATTAATTCAGCTGCTTCATCGACCTTCAGGAATTAAAGGGGGCTGATGGCAACAGCTCCCTGTGCGTTTTACAGCTGGTAATATGTTTTGGCTTTGCAGCCTCCTGGGCGGTGAGGGAGGAGAGCACTGACCCTCCTGCTGTTGAGAGGCTTGAGCATCCATCTTCAGCATCAGGGGAGACCCAGGAGGAAGGGAATGGATGGGGAGCCCATGGCCAGGCAGAAATGGAGCACGGGACCTCTCCCGCACTGTGATTTTGTGCACGAGGGGCATTGACACAGGAGTGTAGGTCCCTCTTGGCACACCCAGCACTCTGGCTGGGGCAGACACATGGATTTGGCACCATTTCACCATTATCCTTCTCCCTTTCAGACGTGAAGTACCTGGAGAACCACACGCTGGCTAAGGATGCTCAGGAGAAGGCCAACGCGGCGCTGCTGGAGTACACCCTCTGCCACTATCCCCACGCCACAGACAAGTTCCGCCAGCTGCTGCTCAGGCCGTCCGGGCGCTGAGCATGCAGGCCGAGGAGTACCTCTACCACAAGCACCTCAGCGGGGAGGTGCCCTGCAACAACCTCCTCATCGAGATGCTGCACGCCAAGAGGACTTGAGTGTGGCTGCCAGCACGGACCCGGCAGAGCCCCGGTGCTGCCAGCGGCATGGCCGAGGCAGGACTAGTGCCCGGGGCTGGTGGGCCGGCGCAGCCTCTCCACCCCACCTTCTCAGTGATGCTATTTAACCCGTGCTATTGGAAAAGTCCCAGATGGTTTATTTTAATACACAGCAAGGACATTTGATGGCTGTGGGGACGCGGGCTCAGCTGCCGGACTGTCCCATTGGCAGCGCTGCCGCCTGGCTCCTCTGCACACGCGTTGCCTGACCAGTTGCCTACCCAATCCATCTCTGTAGTGCAATGTAAGGATAAAGCCTGTTCTGGCTTTTCTCCTGTTTATGCTCCTGTCCTGCTGTTCCACCACCACTGCCATCCCTCCCTTAACCCTGCCCCATGTCTCAGGGCTCTCTCGTGCACAGGGCAGGGGAGAGGTGAGGTGAACTTCCTCCCAGGTTGTGGTTTCGCAGTGGTTGGGGTGTCGCCAGGCACTGCCATAGAAGCAGAAGATTTCTGCAGGAGCAAAGCAGAATGCCAAGGCTGGGACTGGAGATGTCAGCCCCACACAGCCATACCAGGACCCCAAGGTGCACATGCTGGGGTCTCTGGTCCTGACTCCCCACAGTGTTGATGCCTGCTCTGCATCCTGCCACTGTTCTGGCCAAGCGAGGGCAGGCAGAGATGGGCAGTGCCGAGCCCTTGGCTGAGATTTGTTTTCTCAGTGCTTCAGCAGCCATGGCTTTGCAGCGCATGGCAGCAGCAGAGCCCACAGGTGTCCATGGTCAGCACATCTCTGGGATGTCTGGGATGCAGCTTTGCTGCAGAGGCTCTAAGAGATTCGGTACTGGGAGCAGGGGACCATCCTCAGGACTCTTTGGGCCCATAGCCCTGCTGCTGTGCCCTTGGTGCCATCACAGTGACTCCACAGCTGACAAGCTTTGCAGGTCACAGTGTCCAGGCAGCAGCAGCGCTGTGAACCGAGCTGGTTCCCAAAGCGTGAGGATGGGGCAGCTTTGGGGTGGTGTCCCTGAGACAGACCCTGTCCCCTTCCTGCCCACAGACGATGTTGTCAGAGCAGCCAGGCAGGAGGGAGGCGCAGGATTCAGCAGCACATCCAGGCTGCAAACAGACCAGAGCTGCCCTACACCAGCATGTGCAGCCCCCTCCTGCATTTACCTGCCCAAATGTGTGGGTAAAGAGTGATAACAATTGTCCTGTGCTTTGTGCTGGGCCGGGTTGAGCCCCCAGACTCCCCGTGTCCCCAGGTGACAGCAAAAGCTGTGCCAAAGCCACAGGCAAAGAGCTATTGGTTCCTCTCCCATCATGGGACAGGGCTCACAGACACAACTGGCTGCACCCCGCTGAGCTGGGACGTGTCAGACTCTCGCTGCTGCTTGCTCTTGGCCTCAGCTGTGCTCTCCTCTCCTCCCACCCCACCGCCGGGCAGCCCATCATTGCCCCCCCCGGCTGGGCTCCTCCAGTGAGCTGGGGTTGGTTCAGGTTTGCTTTCCACAGCGGGTCTCTGCTCCTCGTTTCAAGGGGGCTGTCATCCGCAGTGGCTCTGCGCAGAGCCGGTGCCTTGAGGAGCTGCAGATGCTGTGCCAGGAGCTGCGTGGTTTGTGGAAGCTTGTTAGATGCAGAAGAGCATGTTTGTCTCTGCTTTTCAACATGTTTGTGCATTTTCCTCCTGAAGTCTGTGGTTCAGTTTCAACTTCTTCTTTTTGTGAACTTAAAAAGAACTGGAGAAAATGGTTTGGGAGGTAAAAGATGTTTTATTTTCAGAAAATGAAGTGTCCTTAAGTGTCTCTCTCTCTCTCTCTGTCTCTCACATCCTTTTCTCCTTCTCATCCCTCCCCTTCCCCACTCCCCACCCTTCCTGTCCAGGCAGGAGGTTACCAACTTCCTTGTCAGGAGCAAACCACTATAATAAATTTTGCAATTCATTTAAAAGGCAGATTTGGTCTTTTTTGCCTGTTTTTCTAACCCTCCTTGTCGGTGTCACCCTCCCCTCCTGGCTCCCCAAGGACAGGCAGGATGCCCTGCCTGGCATCCCTGCAGGAGACCAGTGTTTGTCTACAGCACACAGTGGGTGCCCATGGGTCTGTCCTGGGGTGCTGCCTGCCTTCAGAGACACCAGGACCCTACTGCTGCTGTGGTGTGATTCAAGGCATTGGTGACTCAGGATCTGGTTCAAAGTGCTGCTGGGAATCGCCATAGCGACTCTGAGTGTGTTTTGCAAGTGAGCTCACAAATACTGACACATATGGGCAATTAGCTTAGGCTTAGGATTTGCCATATAGTCCTTGATGGTCACTATGGCTGAGAGCCCCCAGTGTGCCATGCACTGTGGCAGGGGGCAAACTCACAGCAAAGCACAGAGCTCTGCAATAGCTTTGATGACCTGTCTGTAAGATGGCAGTGATGGGAGGTGCCCCTCACCCTGGCTCTCCCCCACCCCAGTGGCTGCAGATTCTGGTAGTGATGGCCTACAGTGATGGTCAGCACCCACATCTCACTCTCCTGAGCAGCACAGGGCTGCTTGAGGTTCTGCAGTTCCCAATAGCACATGAATACACGTGGGCCAGCACACGCTGTGCTGAGACGAGGGAATGTAGTGCAGTGCAGGAGGCAGCATGTTGGAGTGTGCGGTGCCCTGGTCCCCTGCCCTCCACTGCGTTCAGCTGTGTAGAGGTACTGCTGAACACCAGCCCATTCCCATGGATACACTGCAACAAGGAGAGAAGGTTGTCTTTAAAATCAGCATTTACTGTCATCATGATCAGCAAAACCCCCAACATGTTTTAGGTACTCTAGACACTAGTCAGATGCTAAGAGTAGAGGGAGAGAAAACATAACCCCAGCTAGTGAGGGACCACATCGGCCAGGTGGGAGCCCCAGGAGGAGCAGAGAGAGGGGTTTTGTCCTAAACAGCAGAAAATGCTATAGAAGTCAGCTGGTTTGGAAAAGACGTGAAGCCAGTGCTGTCTTCCTTAGTGCATGTGCTTCCTATACAGCCTGTCCCCAGTCTTTCTCCAGAAGAGCGATGCAATGGAACAGTGGCAGGGCCAGGGAAGCCAGCAGTCCTCACCAGCACAGGAGAAGGGGCACGCCTGCCACGGGCATCCTTGAGCAGCAGATGAAGCCCTGTGAGATCCCAGCTGCCCCAGTCCTGCCTTGCTTTTGTCCACACATGCTGCTAGAAAGAAGTGCAGAGCTAATGGCTTTGCCTGGGCTGGGACAGCCCTCCACATGGAAGCTGTCTCCTCTGACCTGCCGTCCTCCTGGCTGCTGGAAGAGCCTCGGTGTGGTGGGCCCATCACCCAGAAGCATCTCAGAAACCTAAAGCAAAAGAGAGACAGTCTCAGCTGTGTCAGTAGGGAGGGGAGGGCAGGGTCCTTCCCTTTCCCAAAGGACTCGTGGAAAAGCACAGCTCAAATGTGCCATAGGACGGAGCAGAGAGTGGAGGCAGCCACTGGTCTGGCAGCGGTGGCTTCACCGTCCCATGGACCCCTCTGCCCATTTAGGGGTCTCTGGAATATGGTCCTTATGGCAAGGAGCCAAAATAGCTCTGAGAATGCTGGATAATGAGGTTTAAATGGGATTTAATGAAAATACCAGAGCTACCTTGGCAGCTATCAGGGCATAAGATACCCTCTGTCCATTGGGAAGGACCATGGCGTGGATGTCAGCAGCCATCCCACTGCAGCACAGTCTGGTGGGGTTGGCACTGGGGGGGGTGTCTGCATTTCTCCAAGTGCCCACAAACACTCAGGTGCTTTGAATCCCAAAGATTCATAATTTCTTTATTATTTTAAACCCAACCTTATTTAATGTGGTATGGCAAGAGTTGCAGAATTACTCAATATTGATCAGAGAAAGGGTGGGCCATGGAGACAAGATCCATGTTGCTATGTGTGGCTTAGCAACATATAAATGTATTCAAACAGAATAATGAAATTATCGTGGCGAAACAAAGCAGCCATCACTTGAAGAGATGGAGGATGTGGAGGCCTCTTGGAGCTCTTGTTTGCCAAGACAAGGAAGACAGTACTTATTGTTTGTGCAAATATGTGAACCCCCCTGTCCACCCACTGCTTACATAAAGGGTGTAATGAATCCGGGCAGTGGCTAGCTGCAGTGTGCAGCTTTGTACAGCTGGGCTGGAGCTCATTACTGCTGAAACGTGTGGCCTCTCTGAGTGAATTGAGTTCTTGCGGGGGGAGCCCTAATATTGGGGGTGGGGAGGTGGGGAGGGGACCTGTGCCTGCCTCCTGGCCACAGCCACGCTGCCAAACTCCTCATTTCTGCGGGTCTGAAACCGGCCCTGTATTTACCTGGATTTTATTTGCCCTCGTTCTCAAATTGCTAACACACCACTGGGAGCTTACCCACCTCCTCCCAGGGAATCACTGGCTGCTGCTTGCACTTGGAGACAGCACCATGCCCACGGCTCTCACAAGAGCACGGCTGAGGTGGATCCCATCCCAGATCCAGCGCAGTTTTCCTGGGAGGCTGTGAGCAAGTCATCTAAGCCCTGAACCTCCCACCAGTGGCCAGGGTCCAGCACTCCCACTGCCCACCAATTTTCCCTGCTGGACTGCAGGGCAGCGCTCCTCCTGGGTCTTTTCATGAGCTCCTGCTGCTGGTACATCACAATACTCATTAAAGCTGGCTGGAAATTTTCAGCTAAAGATTCCGGGGACGAAATATGTCTCTTTTCATGACATTATTTGGGAGAAGACAAATAGAAGAAGAGAAGCAGTGTCTGTGTTGCAATGATTTGTCTCTTCTTCACCATCAAGCACACAGGTTTATGGTTTGTTTTCCCTGGCAGCTGTTATCCCCAAGAGCTACACAGCACTTGGCTCTGTTGAACAAGCTGCGAAGATGGGAGCCTCTGCAACGCTGAGCTGCCCTGGGGTCTTCCAGGCATTAATAGCTGGACATTACTGCCTTTCATTATTTCTTTTAATGGCTGGAAGCACTTGTCTTTGAGCCCGG